AGCGCGGAAAATAACCTCAGGGTCCAGGCGTCTCCGCAGCAGCATCGGGTTAGCTGCGCGAGAGAGAATTAGCAAGGATGAGGACCACGGCTCTCGGGAACCGGGGACCCCAAACACGCCGTGCGCATGGGGAAACCGAGGCTGGAGAGGAAGGGCTGTGTGTGCTGGAGTGGGAGACCCCGTGCGAAGCCGGCCCGGACCCCACGGAGGAGGGGGACACCCCGGAGGCCCTGCCCCCACGGAGGAGGGGGACACCCCGGAGGCCCTGCCCCCACGGAGGAGGGGGACACCCCGGAGGCCCTGCCCCCACGGAGGAGGGGGACACCCCGGAGGCCCTGCCCCCACGGAGGAGGGGGACACCCCGGAGGCCCTGCCCCCACGGAGGAGGGGGACACCCCGGAGGCCCTGCCCCCACGGAGGAGGGGGACACCCCGGAGGCCCTGCCCCCACGGAGGAGGGGGACACCCCGGAGGCCCTGCCCCCACGGAGGAGGGGGACACCCCGGAGGCCCTGCCCCCACGGAGGAGGGGGACACCCCGGAGGCCCTGCCCCCACGGAGGAGGGGGACACCCCGGAGGCCCTGCCCCCACGGAGGAGGGGGACACCCCGGAGGCCCTGCCCCCACGGAGGAGGGGGACACCCCGGAGGCCCTGCCCCCACGGAGGAGGGGGACACCCCGGAGGCCCTGCCCCCACGGAGGAGGGGGACACCCCGGAGGCCCTGCCCCCACGGAGGAGGGGGACACCCCGGAGGCCCTGCCCCCACGGAGGAGGGGGACACCCCGGAGGCCCTGCCCCCACGGAGGAGGGGGACACCCCGGAGGCCCTGCCCCCACGGAGGAGGGGGACACCCCGGAGGCCCTGCCCCCACGGAGGAGGGGGACACCCCGGAGGCCCTGCCCCCACGGAGGAGGGGGACACCCCGGAGGCCCTGCCCCCACGGAGGAGGGGGACACCCCGGAGGCCCTGCCCCCACGGAGGAGGGGGACACCCCGGAGGCCCTGCCCCCACGGAGGAGGGGGACACCCCGGAGGCCCTGCCCCCACGGAGGAGGGGGACACCCCGGAGGCCCTGCCCCCACGGAGGAGGGGGACACCCCGGAGGCCCTGCCCCCACGGAGGAGGGGGACACCCCGGAGGCCCTGCCCCCACGGAGGAGGGGGACACCCCGGAGGCCCTGCCCCCACGGAGGAGGGGGACACCCCGGAGGCCCTGCCCCCACGGAGGAGGGGGACACCCCGGAGGCCCTGCCCCCACGGAGGAGGGGGACACCCCGGAGGCCCTGCCCCCACGGAGGAGGGGGACACCCCGGAGGCCCTGCCCCCACGGAGGAGGGGGACACCCCGGAGGCCCTGCCCCCACGGAGGAGGGGGACACCCCGGAGGCCCTGCCCCCACGGAGGAGGGGGACACCCCGGAGGCCCTGCCCCCACGGAGGAGGGGGACACCCCGGAGGCCCTGCCCCCACGGAGGAGGGGGACACCCCGGAGGCCCTGCCCCCACGGAGGAGGGGGACACCCCGGAGGCCCTGCCCCCACGGAGGAGGGGGACACCCCGGAGGCCCTGCCCCCACGGAGGAGGGGGACACCCCGGAGGCCCTGCCCCCACGGAGGAGGGGGACACCCCGGAGGCCCTGCCCCCACGGAGGAGGGGGACACCCCAGAGGCCCTGACCCCCCGGAGGAGGGGGGACACCCCAGAGACCCTGACCCCACGGAGGAGGGGGACACCGCCCAGGCCCGGACCCCACGGAGGAGGGGGACACCCCAGAGACCCTGACCCCACGGAGGAGGGGGGACACCCCGGAGGCCCTGGCCCCAGCAGGGACGTGCAGCATCCTCCAGCCGCTTCCCGCAGGGCGGGCCCGGCAGGGCGATGGGAGGAAACGGGTTGGGATGATGGGATGATGGGATCCCGGCCCTGGGTGGGATGGAAGCCGTGCTGAGCTTTGAACCCCGTGTGTGCCTCATGCCCGGGACCATCCCCGCGCTTGGGGGCTGAGGCAGGAGGATGGCTTCAAAGTTCAGGCCAGCCTGGGCTACACGGTGCACTGTAGGCCAGCCAGGGCCACAGAGTGAGAGCCTGTCCAAGACAGACAGACAGACAGACAGACAGACAGACAGACAGACAGACACTGTCTCAAGGAAACAGAAAAAAACAGTGTTAGTAAGGATATCATGCACAAAAAGAAACCCGGTCTCAAAAAACCCGTGTGTGTGTGTGTGTGTGTGTGTGTGTGTGTTTGTGTGTG